GGCACCCCCGGGCGGGAAGGGGGGGGGGGGGCCTTTAAAGCCATGACAGGAAGGGAGGGAGTCTGTGTGGCCTGAGTAGCGGGCACCCGCCCTCGCCCTACGAAGCCCAGCTGAAGGAGGGGACCTCACGGGCCGGGTGGAGAGGATGGCAGGCAGGATCAGCCCCATCCTCCTCGCCCGCCCTGTGCTCTTCCTCTGCCCCACACCCACGGCTGGACTGTGCCTGCTGGGCCTGTCTCCCCCCCGCAGGCCATGGGCCCACGGGGACTCTGCATGTTCGCAGGGGGCGTGGTGACGGACTTCGATGGAGACGGGATGCTGGACCTCATCTTGTCCCATGGAGAGTCCATGGCTCAGCCGCTGTCTGTCTTCCGGGGGAATCAGGTGTGCACTGGCCCCAGCCCCTAGACTGGGTAGATGCGGGCAGAGGGGCCAGGGAGGTCTGCCTGGTCAGCATGGCAGGCGGTGGACACCCTGGAGCTGGAGGGAGCAAACAGTGCCAGCAGCTGGCCCAGCTTGGCGGCCCGGGCTGCTAAGGTGCCGTGCTCAGCTGGCTGGGGCCACATCGGAGGCCTGGGTCCAATTCCCAGTCCGCACTGCAGGCCGGACGCGGTGGCACATACATGTACTTCCAGCCACTGGGGAGGCTGGGCGGGAGGCCTTCTTTTAAAAAAAAATAAGATTAAAACAAGAAACCTCCAGGAGCACACTAAATCTCAAGAAGGGCGGCCTCCCTGCAGAAGCCCTGGCCCTCTGCCTCCCACTGTCACTTCTCTGCCAACACGTTTCCGAGTCTGAGGCTCCCCCCTCCCTTCCCCTCCCTTCCCGGGGCTCCCTTCTCTTCCACGGACCTGCCTTTGCTTCGTCCCCTTCCTTGCTGGCTTCCGCTTTGCCCCCCCCTCCTCCTCTCCCTCTCTGCCCTCCTGTCAGCTGTGCCTCCTGTCCCCCACCTTGTCCCCCACCTGCCCCACTGAGGCCCTGTCTGCCCCACGCCCCGCAGGGCTTCAGCAACAACTGGCTGCGCGTGGTGCCGCGGACCCGGTTCGGGGCCTTCGCCAGGGGCGCCAAGGTCGTGCTCTACACCAAGAAGAGCGGCGCCCACCTGCGGATCATCGACGGGGGCTCGGGCTACCTGTGCGAGATGGAGCCCGTGGCGCACTTCGGCCTGGGTGAGTCGGAGCCCGGGCGCGGGACCTCACATGGGACGGGCCTGCCCCAGGCCTGCCCCAGGCCACAGGGCCTCCCGGGCATGACAGCGTGCCCCCGTCCCGATGGCTACCACCCCTGTGCCTCTGTGGTGGGTCAGGGCCTTCAACCCTCCTCCGGTCCCAGGCTCTGAGGCCTTGTTCTGCAGACGTGGTCCAAACCAGCTGTCCCCACAGTCTCTGGGGTGGCTCAGCCTCCAATGGGTCTCACCCAAGCTCTGGTAGAAGGTTCTCAAGGAGTGTGATCACCCCAAGGGGGCAAAAGGTGATTCTTGGCAGGGGAGGGGGAGATGAAAAGATCTTCTATATGTATATATACACACGCACACATACATTATATATATATACAAATATTTGTGTGTGTGTGTGTGTGTGTGTGTGTGTGTGTATATAAAAGCACCAATATACTGGGTCATCGGGAGAGCCAGGATGCATTGTTGCATAGAAGAACATAGAAAACTTCATCATGACTTTTCTGATGACCCAATACATACGAAGGGGGTGCTTTACAAGGTTCACAGGAAACTGCATGTTAGGGAGAGATCTATGCATGGGTTTCGCATTCTTTTTGGACCAAAGGTAACTTATATTTTAATTCCATGTTACCTCAAACTTCCTGAAAGCTCCGCATGCAGAACATAAACATATGGCGGCTCACTCATGCGACGCCGCCGTGCACTGTCAGAGCGGCCAGCGTAAAGCCAGTGACGGTCCTGCTGGCGAGGGTCGGGGTGGTTTCGCGAGATTGCCTTGCTGGTGGGAACGTAAAACGGTCCACCTCTTCTGGAGAACGGCTGGGCGGCTTCTCTTCAAACGAACAAACATACAGTTACTGCCCTAGCACCTCGCTATTATCTCCAAGCATTTGTCACAGACAAGTGAAGACGGACGTCCACACACAGCCCTTCCCGCTCAGGTGCACAGTGGTTTAGTATCGAGTAGCCCCCAACTAGAAACAGCCTGGCGTCCTTCCAGAGGCTGACAGCTCCACGAAGGGCACCTCTGCCCATGCCCATCGGCAACAAGAAGGAACTGTGGATACAGGCCACCCCGTGGAGAGGTCTCCAGGGCACTATGGTGAGTGGGGAAAAGCTCGCCGCGAGGTCGCACACTGCATAATTCCACTGACAGAACATTCTCGAAATGACTAAATTACAGAGATGGAGAACAGATGGGGGTTGCCAGAGGTAGAGAAGGTGGGCATGACTGTAAAGCCTAGTCCCAGGGGGTCTTTGTGGCGGTAAAGCGGGTCTGCGATAGCTCCTGCTTATTCTCCGGGGACGCTTGGCAAGGCCCCAGTGGATGGCTGACCTGCGAAGTGTACCGACCCTTACCCATCCTGCTTTTTCAGTCTGATAGCCACGATGGCCGCTAAGTGACTAACAGGCAGGTCAGTAGGCAGCATGGACCCCCAGACAAAGGGATGATTCACTTTCCTGGTGCGGTGGGTCGGGTCCATGCAAGATCTCGTCACACTATTCAGAACAGGGAGCAATTGAAAACTTACTACTTGTTTATTTCAGGAATTTCTCATTTAATGTTTTTAGGCCACGGTTGACTGTAGGTAACTGAAACCATGAAAATAAAAACCACGCTGATAAAGAGGAACTATCCTATCGTGACTTGGGTGGCTCAGATCTGCACATGTAACAGAATAACACGTGTGCACACACCTGGTACCAAGGTCAGCTCCCTGGTCATGGCCTTGCGCTGTGCCCGGGTAAGCTGTAACCACTAGGGGGCGCTGGGGGAAGGGGCACCCGGGACTGCTCTGTACCATCTTTGCAGCTGCTTAGGCCTTTCTCATTGTTTCAAAATAAAACATTGATAAAGAAATGCATCGAGGGAGGGCTAGAGAAAAAAGTCTTGAAAGTCTCCTGGGGGGTGGGGAATTATAACGGGCGAAAGGTGGAGAAGCATTGGGAGCCAAGAATATCTTTACTAAAGCACAGTGGGTAGGCGGGGGCTGGCAGGGGGCATGCTGGTTGAGGCGCTGGACTCCCACATGGCCAACCGTGGTTTGAGTCCTGGACCTGGCAACTTGCTCTCTCAGTTTCCCTCTCTCTCTCTCTCTCTCTCTCTCTGTCTGTCTTTCTGGTGAGCACGCATGCCCTATAGCAAAAATTTTAAATAATAATAATAAATAACATTAAATAATTCAGAAGAATTGAGTCATATATTCCTAAGTTAAATCAGACACCTTCCCCAGGCATCAGCACCTCCGGAGGTGATGTAATCATAGTATAAAAAGAACAGGCAATATGGACTCACATTAATAAAAATATATGTTGATATTATACACACACATATGTGCATAGAAAAAACGTGCGGGAAATACAAAAAGTGGGAGCCGTGATTCTGTCTGGGCGGCTCCTCCTAGGCCGTGCAAGCACTGTCCTCCTATCACTTCGTTTAATCCTCACGCCCGCCCTGGGAGGTGGACATTATTACCCCGTTGTGCACATGGGAAAACCGAGATCAGAACTGTGAAACCCGCCCAAGATGACAGGAACAGGCAGGAGAGGTCAGGCAGGCGGAGCCGGGATTCATACCCAGGCCTGCTTGAGTTTGTGGTTGCTCTTTTCTGCCGTGTTTTAGTGTGTGTGTGTGTGTGTGTGTGTGTGTGTGTGTGTGCGCGCACGCGCTGCAGTTTTTATAGGGGACACGTAATATTTATGTAGTCTGAAAAAGAAGCAATAACTATTTAGAGGCCCCGGAGCCTGGTTATATGAGCTATTCTCCGGCTAGTCCACCTGAGGGGGTTGACCTGAGGTCGGGCGTCCGTCGCTCCTAGGCAACCATTTGCTCTTCTGGCCCTAGAGGTATGAGACGCTTTCTTTTTTTTTTTTGGAGAGGTTTTTGCTATAGGGCGCGTGCGCTCACCAGACAGACAGAGAGAGACAGAAAGCGAGAAATCCCCCCCCTCACCCCCCCAGGGGGGATGGTCACGCTGCAATCCCTTCTCCTCCATTCTCCTCTTGGGATCTTGGGCACGCACGCACACGCGCCCGGCGTGAGATTTAAGCCACCGGGTCCAGACCTCGAACCGCGGTCGACTACGGGGGAGTCCAGCGACATAGCCATTACGCTAACTGCTGGTCCTAAAGGTACAAGACGCTTTTAAACACGATCCTTTCCTGCACAACAGCAGTAGCTGCCATGCACGGCGCATGCCATGGGTGCAGGCTGGGGCTCGGGCTCTGCTCTGATACATCACTCAAGTGTGGCCACACGTGATGAATTAGCTGTCATGCCCCACATGTTCCAGGCCAGGAGTCTGAGGCTGGGGGTCAGTAACCTGCCCGAACGGCACCTCAAGGAAGTAGGAAGGATGGATTGGGTGCCCACCTTTTTGGACTGTCTGCGTTCTCCTTTTTTTTTTTTTTTTTAAAGGTTTTAGTCATAGGGAGCATGCCAGAGAGAGGGAAAGCAGGAAATTGCCCCCCGGGAGGATGGCCACCCCACAATCCCTTCTCCCCTATTCTCCTCCTGTCATTTTGGGCATGTGCACACATGTGCCCAAAATGAATTTCAAGCCACCAGGTCTAGGGCTCGAACCATGGTCAGCCATGTGGGAGTCCAGCACCTGAACTACCACGCCACCTGCTGGCCTCAGTGGTCTGGGTTCTTGCCCACCTCCCTGCATGGAGCCAGCAAGGCCCTGTCGCTCTGCTTCTTACTCACTGGATGGCCATGTCCCCTCGGGTACTGGGTGACCCAACCGAGGCCATGAAAGCACCAAGGTGACCTTCATGGTGTCATAGGTGGGGTGTTGTCCAGGCATCTAGCTGGACGTCAGCCCCACCCCAATGTACAGAGAAGGAAACTGGGGCTCACATAGCCCGTCAGCGAGGCCAGGCCTGACCGGGTTCTCCTCTGCATCCCACCAGCTGCTGCAGTTTTCATGTGTTATGGAGCACACTGGGTCCCTCCTCTAGCCAGAATCTGCCCCGCAGGACAGAGACCTGCTTTCCTGACTGGACAACTAGGCCGGGTCTTTCCGTGGGGTCAAGGGGGTGCGAGAGCCTCTCCTGGACTGCTTGCTCCCACACTCGGGGCTCCACGCAGTCGCCTGGGGGGGCACTGTCCTGCTTGCCAGTCCGCACCATCCATGGGATGTGCTCGCTGTCTGACTGGCGTGTGCTGCTCCCACAGTCCCCAGGCAGGCTTGTCGCTGTGGCCGGGATCTACTCGAGGGAGCCCGCTCTTAGGGAAGGGCCCAGCAGTCAGGGAGAGTGGCGGTGAGGTTCCTGAGTCAGCAGGGCAGGGAGCGGGCCTGGGACACAGCTGGGCGGGCAGGCCCCACCCACAGCCCCGAGGCCCCGTGGTCCAGGAGAACAGCATCATGGTGCAGGCCTTCCTGACCAGGAAGGAGCCAGTGGGGAAAGCCGGATGGAAGAAGGACCGAGGAAAGAGAGTGAACGAGGAGAAGGCAGACAGGTGGGGACAGGGCCTGGGGAAGGCCCGGCGAGGGCGCTGGCGCAGGGCCTCTGGTGCGAGGCAGGTTTGATGCACCATCATGCTGGCCCCGTGGCCACGCGAGGACAGGGCAAGAGGAAGTGGTTCTGCTCCAGGCAGCTTCTCGAGGAAGCGGGACTAAAACTGGGTCTGGAACGATGGCAGGGATTTGGAAGGCCTGGATGGGGACTGAGCAGGACAGTCAGGGACCTGGACCGGCCTGGATGAAGGCCTGCAGTTGGGAGTGT